TTGTAATCAAAATTTGTAGAACAATTATCTTAGAAGATAAAATGTTTTATACTCAATACTAAGATGAAGATACAAATGTAAATTATTAATAAAAAGAATTATATATAAGAAAAGGCTTATGTTAAAAGTTATTTATCGATTACTCATTTAAGAATCACTTATAAAACACACGAAAATAAAATACACGTATAGAAAAATCTGTATGACATTAAATTTATTCCCAAATCACTAATAAAGTAATCTATATTTATTTCTATATATAATTATTGCGACGAAAATTACTCATTCTGAACACGCTATATTTCATCTTCGTGGCAATTGACTGGGGATATGATTTCCCTAAATTAATAACAGACATTGAACTCATAAATGAAGCAGAATGTGTATTGGCGTTTGAACAGTTGTGGATATTTCAGCGCCATTTCATCATTAGGTTTGCGTGTTGGCATTATCTGTATAATTTATTTCCTAACCAACAAAGATTTATGTGAGCCGAAAACTTGAAAAATGATGCGTGAAATTAAATCCGCTTTGGGACTAAAGATGTTAATCACGATAACTTTATCTAGGATAAATGAATGAGGTCACTTAATATTATATTTATAGGTTTTTCGTGTTAGTATTTAGGTACATATGTATATATTGTTTCAAATATATTTATTTGTAAAAATTGTATTTGTTTTACGACATATTTTAATTGAAGAATGATATGTTATTTAGAATTGTCACGACCAATTCATGGAAGAGATTATACACGACTTTTAACGTATCTCATTATGATGTTAAGATTTATTAATAAGTTTGAGATAGCCTTTCAACATCATTGCTTTGAAATGTCTATAACTTTTATTATAACCATAATTAATACAGCCTTATTATCATCATACACACTCGATAAGCACAGACACTCGATAAGCTTTTACGATATTTATTAATGCCGTTGTATATGTGTCTTTATATGTATTTTGGACACACAAGGGTCTATGATAAAACTGGTTATTAAATATTTTTATCTCAATAGTTATAAATCTCTATTTCTTTTATTTTTAATATGTCTTACTTATTTTACTACTTTCTAATAATAGCATTTATTTTATATATTTTAATTGTTAATGTAAACATGACATTATATTTATGTATGTATATATATTGCACATATTGTTTTGTTAATAACTAGTTGTATCAATATTTTTAAGAAGTATAACGGATTATACAAATGTTTATATTATATATTCACTAAAGCTATGAAGTTGGTTAGATTTTCTAAGATTTGACGAAGCGTGAGTCTAAATTAAAGTCTAAATGAAATGAGTCTCTTTAACAATACTTATAAAGCTACCTACATCTTCAATATTTCATTAAAAACTATTCCCGAACTTACTATCTATTCAGTAATTACTATTTCTTTTACTGCAAATTATTCGTTTTAAACCACAAAGAGTGTATATAATGCAAAACATAGATTATATAGAAATATGTTTCTGAAATAATATATATTTTTATAATAGTACTGTTACATTTCAATCCATAATAAATTTCTGAAGCTAGAAAATTATACGACGCGGAACGCTTTAAAGGTTCATAAATAAAATATTAGAAAAAAGAAACAGAACAGAGTACTTTATCGTAAATGGATTTGTATTTCATTCAAGGTGCGTACTTTAATGTTTTCAATTATTAAAATATTTGAACTAAATCTCACTTTAATAACGTACAAACATTAATCAGGTTTTTGCCTAATCATCATATTATATACAGCCATTAAAATTATCACAAGATTTTTACAATAAATAGTTTAAATATATTACTTTACGTGATACGTACTTTGTCTTATAAATAAAAGGAAAGTCGTGTTAATTACATTATTTATAACTCAAGAACGGCTGTACAGATGTGTCTAAAAATTGGAAGGCTAGTTACCTAGAACCAGGGTCGGACTTAGAATACGCTTCGTCTCGTTTAATAAAATAAATTACGTAATAAAATCCAAATCTGCTTATTTACTGTCTCTAAGGAGGAACAGAGTTCTCCTGGTCCTCTATAATATATTCCTAATTTTTAACCTAACGAAGTCGTTATGAAATATCGTTTTAATATATAATATTGCTGTTATAAATATATATAACTTTGTTTACAACGATAAAGTTTAACTATTTGCTAACCTTTTCATACGATATATTTTATTCATATAACATGTACGAATACATATTGTGGTGTCCATACATTAAACCCTTACAAACAGATAGATATACAGGTATCTCCAGTTTATTAGACAGCAATTGCCTTTCGTATTGCAATTTCTAGAACACTTTGTTTATATTATAGTGTATATATCGTGTAGATGTATATTTTAATGAAAACTAATCCATCGTTACATAAACAAAGCTTTTTAATTTTATATCTGAAGTAAAAACAAGAATACATTTAAACGAGATAAGTCGCAGTGACTATCGTCTACATTTATCCGTAATAAAAAGTAAATAGCCACCAATGCGTTTTATTGTTGGTTTTTATAACTCAATTAATTACATCGAATCCAGACAGACGATTCAAATACGTGGAATTGATGATACAATTCAATTTAGAAAATAAACATTTACATCAATTTGTGTTTGGTTTCCAAATGGCCATTTTTATAACCTGTAACGTAATATGGTACCCAATTTTATTACTGTTTTTTTAAACAATACTAAAACAATATTTGTAAATTATTGACTAAAATAGCAAATCATTTTAAATACTACTCAAGTCTACTACTCCTTTTCGTTATAATTTTCTGGAGTCGACTAGTTAATTTTAACTTAGTCAGCTGTGTTAGAAAAAAATGTCTATTCTGAGTGACTCCAAAGTTTTGCACCTGTTCTTGTAAAGTTTCCCCGCTTTAATAGCTTTTTTGTTGCAAAAACTTCATTATTAACCTTATCTGTCTTTTGTTGAATGCAAACAATTTGTAAAACTCTACATAGAATAGATTACAAGAATGTTAATTGGTTTTTAATGTTTAGTGATTGTAACTAGTTATTTTTTATGATAAAATAGTTGCTTATCTTTAATATACATTTAAAATTTGGTTTATGTTCTGTTCTGTTGTGTAAACTTTGATTCGGATCACATACTTGTCATTAGTATGTATAAGACGCTAAAAAATATTCTCTTTTCAATATAAAATATTTTTTTTTAATATATCCGTTTGTGTGTCTGTCATTGTAACACATATTGCTTCACTGAACAATAAATTAAACTTACCATGCGATTTCAGGTTTCATATGGTATCGAGGAAACTTTGGATCTTTTGATTGTTCTAAAAATTACTTATACCTTGAAATCTTCATTTTAGATTAACTATAATAATAACATTATATAATACACAAACCTATATATATATATATATATATATATATATATATATATATATATATATATATATATATATATATATATATATATATATATATATATATATATATATATATATATATATATATATATATATATATTATACAAGTTATATGTACACATATATATATATATATATCGGATTTATTACAGATTCGTTGTTTTAAAACAGAGGGACGCCAGCCTCGCTGACGTTACAAATGTTACTTCTTCTAGAGCATTCGATGATATTTTAAAATGAAACTGCAATTGATCTTAATGCTCTTGTATTTCTCAAAGATTCTTCATAATAACATGCTTCTATGATACACGCTCACTGAACTCTGAATTATCAATGCTGAATTCTCAATTCTCGAGTCCGCCGTCGTGAGTCCAGACGTCATATTTTTGATTCAAACATAATTCTATTCTCTTTTGATTTCGTTTTACTTTTAACAATAATCATAAATACTAATGAGGTTTAATAAGAATTGATGACAGCCTCTAATTTTCAAGTCGCATCCGTTATTAAAGCTGGTAGCGCCGATATATATATATATATATATATATATATATATATATATATATATATATATATATATAAATGTGTACATATAACTTGAATCTATTTATTTATATATTAATAAATTATTTCTTAGAATGCAAAGAGGTCAAACAAAGTAACACCGAAGTTGCCTACAGAAACCTCTTATGGAGACAATCAAAGTAAAAGGAGAAACGAACCAGTAAACAGTTTGAAAATAAAAACAACCGAATTCCACGAACCGTGTTAATGTAATTACGCAAAACTAACAAAAAAGAAGAGCAGAATGTGCTGTATTATTCGAAACTACGGCGTAATTTCCGTAATAAAAAAAAGGTTGTGAGTCGGTCTGCAATTAGCGCGGTAGCCCTCCCAAGAGTTGTGTAATTTTTCACTTTCATCATAAAAACCTTAGCAGGTAACAATTTTTGAATTTGAACTTTAGGTATACTTAATGTACCTTTTTATATAATTGTAACAAATAAAAATTTTGGGATTTTTGTAATATGATTTAAATTCAATAATAATTTTATTCAAATAAATTATACAAATGCGTTTAATTATTTTCATTAAATTAGATTTTCAAATTTAATTCTAAGAAGTAGGTTTTATTTACAATTTACTGCGTAATTAGTTTCAGAAAACATACAGAAAATAAACATCGCTTATTAAGTAAGAAGTAGTTAGTCAACTGAGAACAGCTTTTTATATTCTCATAGGTACAAAATCTCCTAGTAATTTCGGGAAAAATAAAGTCTCTATACTATTCTATATACCTTAGTATATGACTCTTAAGTTAAACTAACTTTCTTGTTTACGATGTTCTTAAGAAATAATAATAATATATTTGAAATATTATTTGTGATTAAATTTCTTTAAGTGATATAAAAAATGAAGAATAGAAGCCTCATTTGTACTGTAACAGTATAAGATTCAAAAAAATATTGTCGACATAATGTAAGTCGATGTTGTGGTAATTCAATTCTTCTTTAAATCTTATAAAAATAGTCTAGCTACCTACTTCATTTCTAGTAACCATATTTGTATGAAATATAAGATCTTAATTATGAATATGAAATACCTCTTTGTCTATCATACGCGTTGATACATTCGCTGGTTTGGAATTGGCTGATGAGGGCTGTCTTTCCGACTCCTGGTGCTCCAACCATCGCTACACGATGAAGGGCTACAGGTCTTCTTTCCTGGGTATCAGGGGCTGATTGCGCTGGTGAAGATGGTGCTAGGCTACCAGATCTTGAACGTCGTCGGCGGAATGAGTCTCCACGGTTTACTATGCCTAGAAAAAAATACAAATGAGTATTAATCACAATTGTATAAAATATATAAGCTGTTTATCCCATTCTGTTTGGAAATTAATAGTTTTCGTCAGAAGGATATTCTCAAATATATAAAAGAAAAGTGTCTTAGATACACTATTCATAATTCAAGAACTTCTGTACAGATTTGGTTGAAAATTGGTGTAGAGATAGTTTAGAACCAGGAATCGGGCATAGAATATTTAATGCTATTTGATCGAAAACAATAATTAATAAATTCCAATATCTGATTATTTATGGCCTCTAGGGCAGAATAGGGTTCGCCCGCTCAGAAATACACATATTACTAATTCCTAAATTAACGTAGACAAAGTCGCTTGTAAAAACTAAGTTAAGATGTATTTTAATTAACCTTACTATTTTAAAAATAATTATCTTATTCCTTAGAGTATAGAAAATAATCAATTAAGAGATTTTTTTATCTTGTCTGTATTTCTTTATTTTTGTCGTACGAACAACTTTCTTGGTCCTGATAGTAGAGAAATCGATACAAGGATTTGATGACAAACAGTACTTATAACGACTGTGGTAAATATATCTTTAGAGTAATACTTAACGAAACAGTTTATTTTTTACCTCGTTGTTTTATTATATTTAATTATTAATGAAATGTTTTATGCTCAAAATTTGATAAAACTATTAAGCAAGTGTAGCAATATTTTCTTTTTTAATGTTTACAGAAAAATCCAGAATAATCAGAAAATATCCATCAGTTTTAAGGTAACCAGCTTTATTTAGTTCAAACGTCAAATATTTGAGACATTGCGGTTAAATTACAGCATTACTGGATGTATACAATCCACTGGGTCAAAACAGTGTAGTAATGAATAAACATGAAGCATTACGCGAGATTTATTGTTGCGAAGGTTTGACGTCAATCAGTATAAACGGCGCCTGCGCCTGCGCATGCTCATGTATTATTATGAAAGTACTAGGTTTTGCTTCACTCTCATTAAAGGTGTATTTTAGTTACAATATATTTTTAAAGATTACATGCAACATATTTTTATTGATGTGTTAACGTTTACTTCGGTTCCGAATATATTATGACTGAATTATGCGAAAAGATTTATGTTCTAGCGATTATTTCAAAGTTCACATAGTGAGATCTAAGGCTTCCGAAAGTTTTATTCATTTAAATGAAACAAATATTTCTGGGAAATACTACGCGAGTTTATTTTTCTAAAAAACTACACGATCACATGTCGTCTACCCGTGTTCACGGTTGCTGAAAAGTAGCCGAAACGTCCGGAGTATGAAGTTTTTTACAAAAATAAAGTCGCATATTATATCGGAAAAATATTAGTTTCATTTCAATATTTCAAAGTTGTATCTTAAATAATCCAGTATAAAAGGAACATTGGCAAGTAATATACACATGACCGAATTGAAGTAAGTTATACATACATACGTCTATCAAAAAATTACGTGCTGGGTAGAACTAAGGCATTTCCCCGTTCTTTTGATAAATTGAGACTTGCGCAATAAAGAATATTGCTTCTTTTCTGTCGTAGATCTATTGTAGTCATGTATCACATACTATTAATGGCGCTGCTAGTTGGACAGTATATCTTTTTTATTTAAATATACATCATTTAATGTATATAATAATAATAATAATATTTCATTTCTCATTAACCCAATTCCGAAATCAACACTGATAAAGCTTCGGATTAAGCTTGTTTTTAATAAATTCAATATCAATTTATAAATTCTATTAGTAATCAAATTAAAATCAACAATTTATTAATTTTTCTGGAAATTATTACGATTATCAACAAATATTGCAATAAAATGAAATGTTGTCTGAACAAGTATCTCGTTTAGGCGAAACCAACTCAGATTTGCACGTAATATTTTTATATTTTCACAAATTACTATTAAAAATGAGATCTAAGACTTTCGCGACTATTCATTAAAAAAAACTAATATTTTTCGGATTACTTCGCGTATTTTATTAGTTTGAAAACAACACGGGCAGACGAGATGTAAGTAATCACGTTTCCGGAAAAGTAACCGAAACGTCGACAGTATGTAGTTTATTAAAAAATCAAATACGCGTAGTAATCCAAAAAATATTAGTTTCATTTACTGTTAGACAACATTTAATGTACAGTAAGATTTACCACGTCCTACAATAAAACAATCGTGTACAATCAAATCAATTTAAAAGTAAACACGCATTGTATTAACGTTCAGCAGAAGTTGGCCAGCGGCGCAGACTTGCCCACTTTCCAACTATTCATAGAGTCGGATACAAGATATGAGGATCTATGACGTAATCAAATGGGATTTATTAGAGTATTATGGGCTGCGATCTAGAAACTTCAATCACAACTATCACTGTGCCAAGCAATCGAATGTATCCTCTACTTCCTTCGCCACAAGTTTTAAAATACTTTTATAATGCGCAAATACAACAGCGTTTCGAACCATTCATTTTATTGTTTGTTCTTTAAAAAGATTTGGAACAGTAAGCATGTTATATACATTATACAACTAGAATAGAATAAGGTGGTAGCGATGAATGAAGTTGTATGTGCTTTTTAAATACGAAATATATCTTAGCCTCCGATTGGAATTGGTCCAGACATAAGATTTATTCAACATAAAGAGAAAAACGTCACAATACTGAAATTCTAGAGAAAATTCATTTTGCAGATGTGAAAGTATTTTGGCAGAGTGATTTATGTATTTATAATAGATATTGTGTTTTATTATTAGGTGTATAACACATGAAATGTAATTTTAATGCATTTGGATCCGTGTTCCGTTGCAGACTGTTTGACTTGATGGGTTCGGATTTAGCTCAGACTCCGTTACTACGAAGTAAACAGCCATTGACGTCATAAGTGATTCACATAAAGGTGTGTCAGATATGAATGTTATAATAATTGATGTTATAAATGTTTTATGACTCAATGTTAACCAATACTTTATCTGTTGCTATATGCCTTTTATGCGTATATTCTGGTTAATTTTTTGCTCACAGATTAAAAGCTCAGTGCCCGTTTGATTGCTTATACCAGACAATGCACTTCTCCGGATATTAAACTCTTTCACAAATATTAATAGAGTGTAGTCCAGCCGACATGTTATAACCGCAAAACACTTTATATGACAATCAACTACCGCAGATTATCATTATATGTAGTATTTATTCATATTACTGAAAAATGTTTTAAGAAATAATTTGCATATTCGTTTTTCCACGTTTAATCGAGTTACTTATGAGAGAAAAAATTGTGATGAATTAATTCCTTAATCAATAAAGTCTTTATTTTTCTAGAATTAGCTCATACATATTTTTTGGTAATTCTTGGTACTGCTTTGTAGGAAAATTACTAGGCGGATATTGGTAAAATTTTATTTAATCTTTCAGTACAGTTATGTTCAATTCATATCCGTACCCTCAGTATTTATTGTCAATTATTCCTGAAAATTTGAACCTTTTTCAGTCATTAATCATCCCAAGCGACCGTGTATTTTTCCGTTAAGTAATTAAATCGAATCGAAATAGTCGCTGTTCAGTTAATAATGAAAAAACAATACATAATCGTTTCAAATAAAACTGGGACCAAAGCTTACTGCCCCTACTGTTATAAATAAAATTAATGTCTACGAGTATGTACAAGAATTTGTTTTTCCAAAAGAATTATCAAAATTTTTGTTTCGAACTTTTTGTGTTGATTCTAAAACAATATTGATATTTATCAATATCTAAATATGAAGCATATTTATTTAAGGCAATTGTAGGTAGAGGCCATTAGAGTGTTTCCACTATTCGTACATAGAATTCTCTAGAGTGCTTATCAATGAAGTATAGAAAAATACGAAAATATTTCTAGTTTTCATTTTTTATATAGTATTTTTAATAAAATTATATAACAGAGTTATTTTTAATATTATTATAAATAGATAATTAACTGTGTATATATGTAGATTCGTCTATTGTTGCACAAAGAGAAAAAACAAAGAATAAATTTTACTAACAAAGAAAACATTAAAGATTATATTTTTTATGCTATGGCCTCATTCGCACTGGAATCGTGGAAAATTTTACCAACGTCAACGTTTTTATTTGATAGACGAATTATATTGAGTAAAATAAGTACAAATACAAATATTGAGTACTTTGTGGAGAAAACACAAAAGAGTTTGTTGAATGGGATGACGGTGTTTATATAATTAATGTTATTTTTTATTTTATTTTTAAAGAAGTTTCCACTTATACATTTTTACAAGAACCTAGAACAACAAAAAAGAAATACTAATAATAATCCACTTCGATCATGATTAGTAATTTGTATTTTATGAGATTATGACTAATTTATTTTATAAGAGTTAATATTTAGTAAGATTTTTTGGATCACCTATTATATTTTATGGCATCACTTTTCATACAAATGGAAATTCGTCTAAATCATTTCGGTAGTTATATATTGAGGAACAGACATACAAACTTTTAAGTAATGATATCAGTGTAAAGTGCCATCAGACAAATATAAAATACGTATAAAAATACGAAACAAAATGGTATTGTATTATTGTCAACGCCTGTCATTTTGTGTTCATAACAAAATATCAATTGTATGTATTAGCAACCCAAGTTGCTCAGATAAGAACCTTTGATCTGCCGATAGGCCGGTGAGTTCTGCTCCAGTTAGCATAGCTTTGACAGCGTTAGCGTGATCGATACATTCGTTTATCTGTGGTCTGTGGAATAAACCGTTCTGACCCATCCATTGGAGTTTTTTTTTCATACAAGAGCAACACAAACCAATGACCTGTGTTGCATTCTGTCTATATAAATCTGTTCAATTTCGTATAGGAAAAAATAATCACAGTGATTTTATGTACTTTTGTTCATACAATAAGAATTTCAATTAAGTTATGTACGTATTTATTTCAATTAGAATTTGCATTAGAATGCAAGAACTCTTTAACCCCGTTGAATATC